AATTCTATAAAGTCTGTATTCTTCGTTGTGTGACCACTCTGTTCCATTAGCTTAGTGGTCAGCTAGTGATTTAGCAGAGATATCTTTATTAAATGCTTATAAGCAAAAAAGAAAAAGAAAAAACCAGCCAAAATGCAAAAAATCTCTCCCAGTCTTTGTCAGCTAGCTGTGTGTTGGGGCACTCCTTCAATGCTTAGCAGGATACTTTACATTTCTGCATTAGCCTTCACTTCCTGCTTGTACAGAGTCTGAAAGTCAGCCAGAAGAGAGCTTAGGGTCTTCTCAGGTCTTTTCTGAGCATGGGTCCAGACCAAGGCATGCATGTGGCCTTCTGGATTCCCCAGAAGAGGAGGAAGCTTTTCAAGAAAACCTTTATACCAGGACTTCCCTGGTGGCACACTGGATAAGACTCCATGCTCCCAATGCAGAGGGCCCGGGTCCATCCCTGGTCAGGGAACTAGATCCTGCATACATGCCTCAACTAAGGAGCCCACCTGCTGCAACTAAGATACAGCACGACCAAATAAATAAGTAAATATTTAAAAAATAGAAAACAAAAACCCTTTATTCCCCAAGTATCTGCTTCCCCAGGCTCTTCCTTCCTAGGCTTTTTGGCCTGTTTATTGTTTGTCCCAACTGTTACACCGTACCCTGGTGGCAGTGACTAATACATTTGCTTTAAACTCTTTTGACAATCCTGCCTCAGCCCTGGGAGGCTCCAAGGCTGGGGAAACAAAGGTAAGCCCTTGAGCCAAACCTTCAGGACACCACCAGATAGGTCAAAACACAAAATTACAACTCCTTTAGAATAAGGTCCATATTACTCTCTCTGGTACCAGCAACCTACACCAGGAATGTGGGCTGCTGTCCTCAAGGCCACTGGCAAGCTAGAGATAATCACAGAGCTTTCTTGCCAAAATTCAGCAGTCTTTTCTTAAGTGTTCCCCTGGTTGTTGTGAGTTTTTTTATTAGATTCCAGAGTTCCAAAAAAAGCTGATTCTGACAGTTTCACCAGGTTATTCGTTGCTTTTGTGGAGGGAGAGTTTTCAAGTTCCCTATTCAGCCATTTTCGCTGACGTCATTCCATACCATCTACTTTCGTGCTTCTCAGCCTTACCTAAAAATATTTTCTCAGCCTGAAAAGCAGAGAAAGAAGAAAATTTTGCCACCATTGTAGCTATCAAAAGAATGTACTGTTGAAGGCAGGCTAAAAAGCAGTTGCAAAAGTTTTTTAATAAGGACACCATTAGCAAAATAACTTTTATCTGCCTTAAAGGCAATATTCATCACATTACCTGCCTTGCATTTGTCAAACCCTCGATAACAGAGGCAGAGTTTGAGAGCATAGGCTTTGGAAGAAGACCTCAGTTTGAATTCCAGATCTTCTGCCACTTGATAGTTGTTTGGCCTTGGGTAACTCTTAAAATTCTCTAGGGCTGTTTCCTTATTTGTAAAATAGGGATAATATACACTTCTAGAATCATGGTAAAGACTTAATGAGATATTTTATGTAAAATGCTTGGCACTCAGTTTTAACTATTTGTTAAATTTGGTTTCTTTCATTTGGGATTAACACATTACACTAACATCGTTGGATTTTTCCTGGTTGTTTTGCTTAAAAAAAAAAAAGCCACCGGCTTCCTACGTAAGAAGAGCTGAGGTATTGCCATATGCTTTTCAGGAGACTTACCTTAAGCTGACTTTTTATAACAAGCACACCAATTTTCCTTAGACTGTATGTTTATTTGGGGTGGCTGTCGGCGAAATTGTTAGGGATGGGGAGAGGGTGCTTAAAATCCTACCAAAGCCCCTCTTTTAGCCTAGTGACTAAACTGCCAACACGTAAAAAACAAAAAACAAACCTAAATGTCTAGACAAGGGAGAGAAAGTGCCAAATTTAACAATTTTTTTTTCAAACCAGCTTCCTTTGGTGTCCACAGGGTGCAAGCACGTGATGAGAGTACAGAGCACCAGCGAGAACAACCTGAGATGACAGACAGATAATGGGAGGTCAGCCCTAGATGGAAATGTCACATCAGCCCTTTCTCAGGTGGCCTCCGGGGTGGTAGACTGCAGGAGATCGCGTCCCTCCTCTTAGATGCCTTAAGGGCAGGCAGGCAACAGACTAGCGCAAAGGTCTGGCTGCAGATAAAACGCGATTAGCCCACCTGCGCCGCCCTTCCTTCCGAAGCCGGAGGGCTGGGCTCTGCGGCGGGAGGCGTGTTGGCTGTCGCAGAGCCCTCTGGGAGTTGTAGTCCGCAGCGGCGGGAGGTTTGACTGCAGCGGCCGGCTTAGCGCTCTCAGAACTGCATCCCCCGCTGGCCTCCGCGGCCTAGGCCGTTGCCTTTTCCTGTTCAGGGGACAAGAACCCTTGCTGCAGCAAGTTGAGAAGTTTGGGGGAGGGGTGTCCTCCTTCCCGCCGAGCTCTCTGAGATTAAGGGCTCGGCCTGCTCAGGTAGAGGACGTTCCGGGTCTTGCAAACTCATCTCCCGGGAGGGAGTGGAGGAAAAGGGGGGACGCGGCTGCTAAGGCTGAGCTTGCGACGGAGTCGGCTGTTACTCGGGGAAGTTCTTCAGGGAAACGCCTCGGAACTGTGGCTTCTTGCGGAAGCGGTGAGGCCAAAGCCGGGGCCCGCGGAGACCGGTCCGGAGAGGCGGCGCGCGTTCCTACAGGTCTCGGGTGAGAGCAAGTCAGGGCCTCCGTCGGGGGCTGAGAAAGAACTCGAGGGGCTGTGGGAATCGGTGTCTGCCGGACCTTAGGGAAAAGACAGGGTTACCGTGGGTGAACACCCGAGTGAGAGGAGGAGGGAGGAGGAGAATTGGGGGAATTGCGGGAATGGGAGCGCCCTTTTCTATGCCGAGTAGGAGAGAGCTAGAGAGGGGAGGTGGGGAGGAAGCTCCCTTGGTGCCTTGAGCTAGGACCGCAGATGGGGTGAGGGCTGAGACAGGGAAGTCCTCGTCACGCTTTTCCCCCGGCTCGACTGTGAGAGACAGTGACCACAGTAGGTGGCTTGACATCTTCCTGTCTTAGAATAATAGAGCTGGAACGGGCCTTTGAGAGCAGCTAGTCAAGCGCATTCCCTCATTTTCCAGATGAGGAGACTTCAGTCCACCGAGTTGAAGAAACTGGCTCGCTCACCACCAGACAACCGGTTAATGGCCAGCTTGACTAAAACCTAATTTTCATGACTCTCAAGCCATGCCGTAATCTATTGCTGAGATCAGTAGATTAGCAAACTTTAGAACCTGTTCCCCCTCCTTTTATCTTTTTACTGCTTGTCATATGCAGGGTAACAGGCAGCCCCTGAAGGGAAAGGCTTTACACTTTGCAATAGGTCAAAGAAACCCTTGTTTTAACTTGAACAAAAATCTCCTTGCCTCACAAACAACTACAAACTTCATATTAAGAATAAAGGTTGGTGGCAAGCTAAGATGTCACCTATAGCTTCTTTGCCTCGAAGAAAATAAAGTTCACCTTTCCTTTCCCACTGTGTGCCCACTAGAGCTCTGAAAACATTTAGCCTTAGATTTCTTCTGTCTTAAATGCTGCATATCTCAGTTACATACATAAAAATAATGCTGTTTATTGTGATTTTTATAATACCCTAAATAGTTACAATAAAGGGTAAACAGCATAGGAGGATGGGAATACCTGAATTACAAATTAAAATAATGATTTATAGTATTTTTTTAAGAGATACGAACATAAAAGTAAAGAAAAAAAATTAAGAAGATAAAAATTTCTAGCAAGCCAGCATTTTATAATACACTTAAATTTCAGTACTTGCCAGTATTCTTTCTTTCCTACTGCCTAAACATAACTAGAGCATTTAGTGTTCCCAGTGTGAGAGGAGAGGTTCTTTGGTGCCATTGCATTGTTCTGACTGCTAATTTCTTTATTAAAACACATTGTCTTCCAGCACTGTCAAATTTAACACCTTTTGAAGGATTTATTGATCAGATTAGACGCATGTTCCAACTGTCACATCAGAATTTGAATATTATGGCTCCTATTGGCTCACCATTAAGCAATTCACAAGGAAGAGGTTTAGATAAAGTTTGTTACTGGACTTTATAGAAGTTACAGACTTACCTAGAAGAACATACATATACATAACTGCTTTCACCAGGCTGCCTTTTTAATGATATGGTTCCAATTGCTTTTATATTGGCATACTACAGAGGTGGGTAAACTATGACCAAATTTGGCCACTGCCAAATGTATTTACTTTTTATATGGTTTTACTGGAACACAACCATGCTTACTCATTTATACATTGTCTTTTGTGCTACAGGCAGAGTTGAGTAGTTGTAGAGACCATATGGCTGGCAAAGCCTAAAATATTTACTATCTGGCCCTTTGCAGAAAAAAAATTATCAACCCCTGGCCTGGTGAACTGAATGTAAATATAGTATCTAAAACTCTACCATTTGCAGAAGTATTAGTTAATAGTAATTTTCACTCATAAATACTTGTATGGTGGGTTCATAATCCATTTCTTTGGGCAAAAGCTAGTACCTCCTTATTGCAGATTGTCGCTAGCATCTTGGCATATGTACTATAGGTTTGCTTTTGCAAAGTATTGTCAAAGAAAGTTTCTGAACCTAGTGTGGAAAGGGCTGACATTCTTTCAGATATACTGATGCTCACAGTTAATAACTTTTAAAAATAACATTTAGGAGCTTCCTTTGGTTGTTCTCTATGTTCTTTTCATGGAGATAAATGCTTCAGCATAAGCACCAGCAAACAAGTTAATAAGCTGTTTTCATATTGAGACCCCATACTAAAACCAATCTTAAAATAAATGATAAGGGTCTTTTTCTTTTTCTTTTCTTTTTTTTTTTGCGGTACGTAGGCCTCTCACTGTTGTGGCCTCTCCCATTGCGGAGCACAGGCTCTGGATGCCCAGGCTCAGCGACCATGGCTCACGGGCCTAGGCGCTCCGCGGCATGTGGGATCTTCCCAGACCCGGGGCACGAACCCGTATCCCCTGCATCGGCAGGCGGACTCTCAACCACTGCGCCACCAGGGAAGCCCAAGGGTCTTATTACTAAATGACTTATCTTTGACATTAATAATCTTGTATCTGGGACTTCAGTGTCTTAAAGATCAGAGGATTGAATGAAATAGAAATGAATATATCTGTTTATGTCATTTTTTTGTATTTAACTCCCTATATTAGTGTTAGTCTGTGGCAAATTAGTGCTTAGGAATAATTAAAATTTTACTTAATCATTGGTAGCACTATTCTGTGTTACCATCTAAGTAATATTAGCTATGAAACTCCAATTCACCTCTCAACCTAATTCATCAAACTTCAGTTTATAGTTCTCAAGACTTTCAGAAAGGTATCAAATTTCCTTTGAAACAGCATTCTGGGGGAATTTGAAGTTCAGGTTACTTGACTAATTGAGGCAACTGAAAATGATCTGTTTCCTTACAGTTCTTCATATTTACTTGAATGTTAATAAATCTTTGAAAGGCACTAGGAACTTTGGACTCATTCATGATTTATTTTGAATCATTGAAATATCATCAGTTTTCTGCTTGTTTGGAATAAAAAGCTAATTTGACAATGCCACAAGATTTCAGATTCGCCCAGGACAAATACATGTATGTGATTAAACTGGAAACTTTATGTCAATTCCTGAATGTCCTTCATATTTTCCCCAACCTTGATTATCACTTTTTGTTAAGGCTGACTGAAATCTAAGAACCTTTCTAGATTTTCCTCTTTTCTGGTTTCCTAACATTCAATATTCAGTGAAAGTATCATCTCCAGGACATAAAAAATCCTGTTTCTAAACTCAACCACATTCTCAGTTTAGTTTAGGAACCAATACAGTGGAGAGTATTGGTTAACAAAGTAAGTCAGAAGTGTAGCCGTTTTTTTCTGCCATTGTTTAAGCAGGTATGTTTTTTCCTACTCTGACTTGGCTATTGACCTTTCTTGTGTTTCACTGCTGCTGGAAGGATTATTGCTGTCCAAGGGAATATCTAGCCTTGAGACAAAGAAGTTTGCATCAAGAGAAACAAATTCATCTAAGCTAGTTTGCTTCAAGAAAACTATGTTGTTTTAAATTTGTAATCCAGATGCTTGGGCACATATCTTCACTCTTCTAGTCCTAAACTTTGTTTTTAAAGAGTTTAAGGCCATTTGTCATTCTAGGTATTACTGCTTTTTTGTTTCCGAATCTGAACAGGACCTGATTTTCAGAGGCTTCTTTTGTCTTCCAAATAGCCTGCCTCCTTCTTTAAAGCAGACATCCCACTATAGTGGGAAATAGCGTTTGGGATCAAAGTGGCCTAATTTCATTCCCAATCGTGGCTTTATTAGTTACGTGATTTAGGACAAGTTACTTCTGAGCTTCATGGTTTTTTATTTATTTATGTTTTTTGTATCAATAATTTGAAGGTAATACCTATTTCCCAAATCCTAAAGTATTAGATACAATTAAACAACATGTAAACATTAGGCCAACAGTAGGCATTCAATAAATAAATGTTAGTTCCATCTTCCACTACCTTTCTATTGACTTGTCTTTTTCTCTGAGTTTTTCTCCAAAGTGACACTGTTTTTGTTCTTCAGAAATGAATTCTTTCCCTTTAGGTCTATTCTGTTTGTGACAGTTCAGTAATTCTATGAAGCTCAATTTCTTTATCTTTCTTACCTCACTGGGTTTACTCACTTTATGCTAAAGACGTACATATGTCAGCTGATTTTATTCAGGCCACTAAATTAAGCCAAAATATAATTTTGCTAGTTACTTTTAAAGAACTAAATTCATAATAAAAATGATAGCTCTGTTTATTGAGCACTCACTGTGGACCGGTCACATTATTATGTGCATTATCTCATTTAAATCTCGAACCAAATTCCCTTAGGGAATTTAAGTAAGTTGCCCCAAGTCACACAGTAAATCCAGGATTCAAATCCAAGCAGTCTTATGTGAGCTGGCCACTACATTCTACTTAATAGAATCAGAATAGGCCATATCCCAATTTAACCATTGTGTATAATTCAAACGAATACCTTCCGAAGGTGGTTTCATGAGTTTTTGTAGATTTAAGAGCAATAAGGTTCTGCCTGCTTACCAATATTAAAAATTTTCTCTAGCATTTCTTAACAATTCTGTTTATGCCTTTTTCCTCCCACAGTATAACAGTTTCATTAAGCTCATTTCATTAAACTTAGTTTAAGTTCACAAATAATAGTAGCAAACTCCTATATAAAGTTCAGTAGTGTTTGGAATAGTTCCAAATGCTTACACATTAATTTATAGATTATTTTATGTGCTTTAGATTTTCTTTTATAAATTTCCCCCAAGTTCTTTAAGTTATTCTTTTTGATGAAGGGGTACTGGCTTCCTGAGTCAACTTTTCAATTTCTAAAATATTTAATTTTTTAAATTGAGATGATATTTTTAAAACTCTCTAAAGTTAATAACTTCTCTACTATATGTTTATTTTCCAAGCTTTTAATTCCTATGCCATGTCCATCTTTATTTATTTTCCTTTTCCTTTTTTTTTCCTAATTGAGATACAGTTGATGTACAATATTACATAAGTTACAGGTGTACAAAATAGTGATTCACAATTTTTAAAGGTTATACTGCATTTATAGTTATTTTAAAATATTGACTGTATTCCCTGTGTTGTACAATATATCTTTCTAGCTTGCTTATTTATTTATTTATATATTTTTGCGGTACACGGGCCTCTCACCGTCGTGGCCTCTCCCGTTGCGGAGCACAGGCTCCGGACGCGCAGGCTCAGCGGCCATGGCTCACGGGCCCAGCTGCTCCGCGGCATGTGGGATCCTCCCAGACCGGGGCACAAACCCATGTCCCCTGCATAGGCAGGCGGATTCTCAACCACTGCGCCACCAGGGAAGCCCGCTTATTTATTTTATACATAATAGTTTATAACTCTTAATCCCCTACCCATATCTTGCCCCTCCCTGCTTCCCTCGCTCCACTGGTAACCACTAGTTTGTTCTCTGTAAGTCTGTTTCCTTTTTGTTATATTCACTAGTTTGTATTATTTTTTAGAGTCCACATATAAGTGATATCATGCAGTATTTGTCTTTGTCTGACTTATTTCACTTAGCATAATACCTTCCACGTCCATCCATGTTGTTGCAAATGGCAAAATTTCATTCTTTTTTATGGCTGAGTAGTGTTGCATTATACATATACCACATCTTCTTTATCCATTCATCTGTTGATGGACACTTAGGTTACTTCCGTATCTTGGCAGTTGTAAATAATGCTGCAATGAACATTGGGGTACCTGTATCTTTTTGAATTAGTGTTTTCTTTTTTTTCAGATATATACCCAGGAGTGGAATTGCTGGGTCATATGGTAGTTCTCTTTTCAGTTTTTTGAGAAATTGGCCATACTGTTTTCCACAGTGGTTGCACCAATTTACATTACCCCAACAGTGTATAAGGGTTCCCTTATATGTACATCCTCACCAAGACTTGTTATTTCTCACTTTTTTGATGATAACCATTCTAATGGGTGTGAGGTGATATCTTATTGTGGTTTTGAAGTTCCCAGATGATTACTGACGTTGAGGATCTTTTCTTGTGCTTGTTGGCCATCTGTATGTCTTCTTTATAAAATGTCTATTCAGATCTGCCCATTTTTAAATTGGGTTGCTTGTTTTTTTGTTGAGTTGTATGAGCTGTTTATATATTCTGGGTATTGACCCCTTATCAGTCATATCATTAGCAAATATTTTCTCCCATTCAGTAGGTTGTCTCTTTGTTTTGTCAGTGGTTTCCTTTGTGCCGCACAAAAGCTTTTAAGTCTGATTAGGTCCTATTTTGCTTTTATTTCCTCTGCTTTAGCATACAGGTCAAAAATATATGTTGCTGTGATTTATGGCAAAGGGTGTTCCGCCTATGTTTTCCTCTAGGAGTTTTATGGTTTCTGGTCTTACATTTAGTTCTTTAATCCATTTTGAGTTTATTTCTATATATGGTGTGAGAAAATGTTCTAATCTCATTATTTTACATGTGGCTGTCCAGTTTTCCCAGCACCACTTATTGAAGAGACTGTCTTTTCTCCACTGTATATTCTTGCCTCCTTTGTCACAGATTAATTGATCGTAAGTGCATGGGTTTATTTCTGGGCTTTCTCATCCTGTTCCGTCGATCTATTTGTCTGTTTTTTTGGCCAGTACCATAGTGTTTTGAGTATTGTAGCTTTGTAGTATAGTCTGAAGTCAAGAAACATTGTTCCTCCAGCTCTGTTCTTCTTTCTCAAGATTATTTTGGCTATTTGGGGTCTTTTGTGTTTCCATACAAATTTTAAAATTATTTGTTCTGGTTCTGTGAAAAATGCCCTTGGTATTTTTATAGGGATTGCAATAATCTGTAGATTGCCTTGGGTAGTATGGTCATTTTAACAATATTAATTCCAATCCATGAACACAGTATACCTTTCCATCTGTTTATGTTGTCTTCAATTTCTTTCATCAGTGTCTTATAATTTTCCAAGTATAGTTGTTTTGCCTTCTGAGATAGGTTTATTCCTACGTATTTTATTCTTTTTGATGCAATGGTAAATGGGATTGTTTTCTTAATTTCCCTTCTGGTAATTCATTTTTAGTGTATAGAAGTGCAACAGATTTCTGTATATTAATTTTGTATCCTGCAACTTTACTGAATTCATTGTTGAGCTCTACTACTTTTTTGGTGGCATCGTAGGATTTTCTATGTGTAGTGTCATGTCATCTGCAGAGTGTTACCTTTTTACTTCCTTTCCAATTTGGAATCCTTTTATTTCTATTTCTTGCCTGATTGCTGTGGCTAGGACTTCCAATATTATGTTGAATAAAATTGGCAAGAGTGGGCATCCTTGAGTTGTTGCTGATCTTAGATACCCACCTTAATTTAAAATGTATTTTTCATTGATATTTTATATAGAATGTTTTTACTCATTACATCCAGGAGATACTTTTTTCAAGTTTTATTTAGTGAAATTGACAGTTTTAGACTAAGGATATTTAATAGGACTGTCAATCCTAGTCTTGTAAATTAGTGGGTCAAAGTACTCTTAATTCTGCCTTTAGTTTTAAAACTTAAGACCAAAGAAGTCAACTGAATTATTAATCAGTTTTATTACATTAAAAAAGGAACTGAAAAATCAGGCTTCTGTTTTTGCACATCAACTAACTGTTCTGATGAAACTACTTAGCTTACTCACAGTTCCTTTTATCTTAGTGAGATTTTAGTAACAGTTACTATTGATCAGTGTATACTTTATATTCAAGATCATTTCTGATGCTCCACATTTGAATATATATGTTATATGGCTCTATGTTTCAAATAGTCAACTAAACTTTTTACCTTAAAAGAATAAATCTTGCACTGATCTATTACAGAGCTAATTTGGGAGCCACGACTAGCAAGTGGTGTAGATATGAGCTAAAAGTGAAATGAAGAACAGAAAATCATAATCGTTTGTTAGCATCCTGCTTGGTTTTATTATTTAAGTGATTTAGGACAAATTACCTGACTTCTTGACTTCATAAATTATATTTTTTAAGTTTCTTGAGGATAGGGACCATGACTTTTTTTTTTTCTGTTTTTCTCAGTACCCAA